CCAGCCCAAAATACTTCCCAGCACTATGTTGGGTCCATCACCTTCATCCCACAGTCACAGAATGGCTTGATTTGGGAGGGTAATCCTTAAAGATTACCAAATTCCAACTCTCTGCAGTGGGTTGGCTGCTCAGGGCCCATCCAATCTGGCCTTGGGCACCTGCAGGAATGGGGCACCCACAGCTTCTCCAGGCAGACACAACGCACATCAGGACCTGTGCACTGCTTGCTACATGAGCAGAACTGGAACAACTCCTCCCGCAGTGTCATTTTAGCAGGTAGCCATCCCCCCCCCAAAACCACGGCAGACTGATTTCCAGCAGACCCATGGTGTACACATCATTTATCCACTGAAGAGAAACAAAGGAGCTAAATTCCTGGATGTGTTTATTGTGATTGGCCACTCTCACGCAGCCCAACAGGCTCCCACCATTCCTAATGAGAACAACATTCAGTCACACGTTGGCACAGCTCACAGCGGGTTGCTCCCTGGGGAGCCCAGGCGTCGGCAGCACATGGCAGAGCAGAACAGGTTTTCCTGGGTCAGCCTGTCCCAGTCAGATCACCATAACATACTGGGCTGCTCCAGATGGAAAACCAGCAGAGAAGGATCTGCGTGCCACACAGTTGTGCACGCAAGGTAGATGAGGGCCCTTGGGAGCACCGTGTGTTCAGCCCAACATAACCCATGAAAACTCCATCCTCTTAGCTCCAGTTCCAAGATTTATTTATCCATTAGAGAGACCTCGGGGCCAAGCTCAGATCCTGTTTTCACAGCCACCAGCACTGTCCCGTTGCTTTCCCACTCCTCCATCTACTCAGCAAACCCTCAGCAGGGTCCCCTGCCTCCGCAGCCGCCTCGCCGCTGCATGTCCTGCTATGGAGCACGCCGCTTTGTAATGCAAAGGAGTACAAAGAGTCCCTTCTGCGCAGCGGCAAGCAACACAAACACTTCCTAAATGAGACCAGCCAAACCCAAAGGCAGATTCCAATTCAATCTCTCCATTCGGGAGACCGAAATTATTCCACCACATGCTTAGCTGCCAGAAGTTGTGCAAATGCTTTAATCAAGTCTGGACTGCACCAAGGCGAGGACATCAAATTAATTCCCAACGATCTTTGGTACAAAAGGAGTCCTTCATCTATCTCTCCATTCAAGTTTCTTGTTCTGGTTCCTTTCTCTTTTGGAATTAAGCAATTACAGGGTAAGAAGTAAAACCAGCAAAAAGAGCGTGAGAGAAAACCCCTCCAGCAGAGCAGTGGGAGCACGGGCAAGAGGTGGATGTACAGAGGCTGCTGCCCAGCACAGCTGAGTCAATTAGAGTTCCACCAGTAGCAGAAGCATATAAACCAGCTGGCTCTGAAACCAGCTTTGCGTGTCTCCCCTTCACAAACACCAGATAGCCTTGGGAGCGCACACACACTGCAGTCATCATGCAATTAGGGCTTCCTCTGAATGTCACACAGAGGCCATAGCTGGAGACGAGAAAGTGCCCTCTGTTCCCAGACGGACAACCAGGCACGTGGCACGTGCATGGAAGATAGCCATGTCTCAACACTGTCAGTCTGCTTCACTGGGGCTGCTGTCCCCACAGCCACGTGTCCTCTCACTGGGGATGACATCTCTCCTCTTGCAGCACTGCTGGTTTATCACAAAATGGGTAGAATCTTCCCTGCAACGAGTGACTCAAATGAGCTGCGCCTAATAGACCATCCATCTCATTGACATTTGTTTTGGCATCTTTGACTGTTTCAAATCCCACTTATATCTGTGTAACAACCAAGATTACACCAGTCACAACCGCCATACAAACATCTCTATTACTGTCTGTACACTGGAAACACAACTTTTTTTTTTTTTTCTTTTTTTAATTTCCCCTCTTTTCCTGTTTCTAATGCAACCCTGGCAGCACATTACACCAAGGCAGGAGGTTGTAGTGTGCTGATAATTATGTTGTCCAAACCCGAGATACAACACCAATATTGCCTGCTGGTACGAGGCACTGTGCAAACCTGTGTGGGCTTGCAGAGCTCAGGCACACTGTGCAGGATCCACAGGTGCCTGCTTTAATAACTAGCACTCAGCACTGTTCTCCTTTTCTCCCCTGAGTAATCAGACAGGCTTGGCTGGTGCCAGGCACAGCGTGCATCACCTCTAATGCCAGACCCAGCTCAGAGCAGCCTGGGACACGTGCAGCCTTCCCATGGGCACAGGGTCTGGGCAGGGAAGCAAAATGTCCAAAGGGATTTTGACAAGGTGACATCTGAATAATGGTTGAAAAACCCATCTGCATCACCCTGCCTGCTCGCTGCCAGGCTCTGGCAGTTTCCAGTCCCTGGAATGCAGCTATCTCCAAAAAAAAGGCACGGAAGGTTTTTAGGATGTGAAACTCGGGACAGTGATTTATGTTGATTTATATCTGTTTGGTTGACACGGCAGTGAAGGCTTCTCCTTCCCTACGTCCTCCTGCCTGCTTTGCACACCCCTGCCCAGGAGTTCCCCACCACACCTCTCTCCCCAGGAGAAGTTTTTTGATGAAATGGAAGCTTCCTATAGAAATGCTTCAAGTCTGCTGGATTTTTTTCCTCCTGACATTCCTGGTTTTTTTTCCACTGGCAGTTTGTAAAAATGGACTTTCCCCATCATTTCTCCATTTCAGAGTTGTTCTCTTATATTTCACCAAACCTATAAATTAAAAGATGGACTCAGTGACCTTCATGGGTTCCTTCCAACACGGGATGTTCTACAATTCCATCTCTTTTAAAGAAAGCAGTTCCCTTGAGTCAAACAGGAGCATCAAGGATTTCCTTTTCCACAATTTCCTCGGAACTTCTGAATTGCAACATTTCCTGCCCTTTTTCACATGGAATGTGCTGATATTCCTGACCACAACACAGTCCTCAGCTGCTCTGTTTCTGCACACCCCAGGGCACTGCTCTGAACATGCAGGGCAGGTTTTGAGGAACTCTGAGAACAGCATTTCCCCCCTTCATGGCTCACACTGAAGACTGAATGGGAAAGCTGGAGTTCCTCAGGATCTCTCTGTTCTGTGAGGAATCAGATGCAGGACAATTTCTAATGCCATCAAAACCCATATTTCCTAAAGCAGAAGACAGAATCACAGAATCATTCAGGTTGGAAAAGACCTCTAAGGTCATCTAGTCCAACCATCACCTCATCCCCACCATGCTCACTACTACCGTGCTGCATCTCCACACTTCTTGAACACCTACAGGGATGAGGATGCCACCATTTCCATGGGCAGCTTGTTAAAATCTCAAAGACCTGCAAAATCAGGGCAGAAGGTGCCAGAACACCCATACATCCACCAAGGTTTGAGCACGCAGATAGCTCTGCCTTTGCCAACAGCACAGATCCAGATCTCAGGAACCAACATATGCTTCCAGCACACCCAGGGCTTCTTTTTTTCCCCTCATATTCACTCTAAAAGTTTCCATCCTTTTCACGTACCAACTTGCTTACTTTGATCTGTATCTTTTTTTCACCCGCAGTCAGTACAGCAATTCTACCAGCTGTGCTCCCAATAGATTGTTTGGTACAAAATACCAAAGGAAGCATTTGCTTCTCCAGCCTCCCGCAGCACTGAGCACCTTCTTGGTTCCACAGCAGTGGGGTGATTCAGACCCCTGCAGGCTCCAAATGTCACAAAGCCCCCACATCCCAGCCATCAGGAAGCAGCTGCTGGAACACCTCAGCCAGCACCGTGCACTCATCATCAGCATGGGTAGGGGTTGGGACAGAGCAAACCCACAGCCAGCTCCATGCCTCCTCACAGCCCCTTTGGGCAGCAGAGCTCCCAGAAGCACAGGAAGCCCTCAGGAAGCTCTCAAGTAAATCCCATCTCTTCCAGGTATCAGATACCCTATCAGTTATATTTGATGCTACTTTGGCAGCGGTGCAGCCATCCTCGAGCAGCCAGGAAGGGATGCCAGGAGCTATGAGCACTCAGATCTGTGAGGTCAGCAGCGCCGTCACCAGGAAAAAAAGATGTGCCAGGTCCTTAGTCAGATTTCAAGGAATGCTTTTCCCTCGAGTCCCAAATACCGTACATGACAAATTCAACTTTTCTTTCAGAGCTCAACTAACCCCGATGCTTTGAGCCCTGTGGCTGGAAAAAAAACCTTGTCCCTTACTAGTCCCAGATCTGGCCGGTCCTTTTCCCAAATGAATAGGCAGACCTCCTATTCCTCTTTGCAAACCTCACTTGCACCTTGAGAAACACGCACACGACTTGAGATTACTGCCACCCCAAGGAGATGCTGAAGCTGAAATAATGCAGTGCTCTCACAGCAGCCCAACTGTGGGGAAAGAACACTTGCCCTGCATGGAACCATCACCGCCTGCCCTCACGTGCACAGGTACAGCTCATTGTGCTTCCCTCTGCTTTCCACACTGGTTTCCTCCCATGTGTTATTCATGGGAAAATAGGGTCCCTCAGCTCAAGCCACACACACAAGTCCAGGTTCTGCAAACACTGCCCAGGGCTGTGGGAGGAACAGTACTTATTTCCTTTCCCATCAGAAGCTTGTATTTATTTTCCTTTTTTTCTTCCATAAGAGGTTTCAATGACAGCATCACTCAAAAAGCCATCACTGCCACAAGAATCCAACCTGCTCCTTGCTTTGATCTCTGTAAGAAGGAAAGATCGACTCATGCTATTGCTGTGTTTTCTTACTTTTAAGGACACAGAAGCTGGGGACACCTGCCTGCACACAATGACAGCACTATGCAAGAGCCACTTCCAAGTCAGCTGCATGGCTGCTTTTTTCCAAAGTATGTTTGGTTTGATTTCTGTGGGGGCTTGAAGTAAAGATGCTTTCAAAATAGGCTTATACATCCCCATGGGATGTTCACACATGTTATAAGAACCATACTCAAAAGCTTAAGAGAAAAGAGCCAGAATTAGGATCCTTGAGCCAAAGAGCAGCAGAACCCCTCAGCTTTGCAGCCTTGGTTGCCACAAAGGTTCCACAACCCACCTCACTCTGTGATGTGGTGATCAGTGCTTTCCATGATGCTGCAGCAGGAGCCCACAGCGTCCTACAGCTCAGGCGTGCTCACACATAGAAGGAAGCCAGCATCTGTAAGCAGAGCATCTAGGTGAGAAACACAGCACATGATATTCTGAGTCAGGGGCTGCTGGGGGTGTATTTAGCGACCTACAGCTTCTGTGCAGAGATGATGGGCACGAAAGGTGGTGGGTGGTGATGGGCTCTGAGGACCTGTGTGGCCTTGTACCTTCAAAGCCAGGATCGTCGGCATTGAAGCTGCTTACAAGCCCTGTGTGCCACAAGGCAGCTTCATGCCTCAATGTGTAAGTCACTGCTGTTGCAGGAAACCCTCAAGGTTAAAAAAGAAAAAAAAAAAAAAAAAAAAGAAAATGAATTACAGCAACAACAAAAGTTTTCACTTTAAGGTGAACTCTTTCTTCAAACCCCTTTATCACAGTTTCTTTCATCCAAGGTGGGACAAAGATTACATGATTTGAAGGACACAGCTTGCAGGTTCTGACAGCCAGGAAGGGTTGCAGCAATGAAGGTAAATTGCTCTTCAAAGCTACGTTTTTATTCTATCTCTGGTTTGTTAAACCCCCACACTATGCCCATTCCCATTCAGCAAGGTGAATATCCCACCTGCACCTCAGCCAGCCCAGGCAGAAGCTGTAGGATGCTATAAGAGATCCCTACAAAACATAAAAGCCACCCAAAAAATGTTATCTCACAGCTGTGTCTTCCCAAAAAGCATTAATGCACCTCACCTTCCTTGAGCTCCACCAGGAAATAGCTGTAAGGAAGGGGTGGAGGAGGAAAAAGAACCACTTATGAAGCATCAGCTGCAGCCTAATTAAAGCTATTAGCAAGCTTTTAGTAGTGTTTATTAGCCGTTCCCAACATTGCTGAATGAAGCAATCCTGACATCAGCCTTCTGGCTTGTAAAGCTGTGCTACAGCCTAAGCTGAAGGAAGAGACAGGCTTAGAAAAGTCACATTGGCTACAATTACTGCTCTTGTGGCCATCCCTGAGTTTGAGTTTATAGAAATCAGTCCTAGATGGGGGGAGCATGGGAGAGGAAGCAGACCCTGCAGTCAGAACATCTATAGTTACGGGCTGTGTCCTCAGTTGCAGCTTTTGGGTCATTGACTCATTTTCAGCTGATGGCTTCACACTGCCTTCAGTTTTCTGAGAGCCAGAGGCTGCAGACAGGATGGAGTTTTGTTCCCAATGCTATGGAGGAATCCATGCTGTGATGCTCAGTGTGGGTCCCACAGCCGCCCATTGCCCACCTGCACTTCTCCATGCACACAGAGCAGTGACTGCTGCCCAGCAGCTGGGATGATATGTGCTCAGGGGACACAGCACTGAGCCTGGAGTGGCTGGGAACAAGCTGGCCACAGGGCAGGCAGGATTAAGGGAAGATTTACATCTTCTGGTGCATGAAGCACTCATCGCTCATTGCTGTTGGATGGCTTCAGCCTGCAAACAGTTTGCCTAACATGACATGTTTCTTAAATAGCCTTTCAAAGGATGTGCAGCCAAAAGCTGCAGCCAAAGGCTCCAATGGGGCCAATCTCTGCAGAGTCACTTACAGGGCGACATTTCCAAGGTATTTATCATACAGAAGAGACATTTCAAAATAAACAAGTGTCTTTTATAAATCACGGCCTGCACCCATGGGAGGAGAAGCTGCTGCCACTCTCCTGAGTATACACAGAGCCTGAGCTACCTCTGCATTCACCTGGAGAGGATGTAGTGCAGAGTAACTCATTGAGCTGTGCCTCGTGCAGGGGATGCCATCCTTCATGCCAATTTACAGCCAATTCAGGAATTCAACAACCATTATTTATCACTGGGGCTCCCTGCTGACCGTTACCACGTCTGTGAGCAGTTAGGCAAAATGAGTTTCCAAATTAGTGCCTCTGCTTTCATTCCTTTCATGTCTGCCTCTGTTTATCAAGAATGTCAGCAAATCAGAGGATCCCACTCTGGGTAAATTACCTGGGAATTTTCCACATGAGAATGCTGCTGAGCCGGTGGTGGTGATCTCATCATTCTGCTTGCAGTGCCTAAGGCACCAGGAAAGGATCATCACGTTGGAAAGATGCTTAAAACACCCGGTGAGCATGGATGAGATTTCCACATGCAGCACAGCCAGGCTGCCAGCCCCTGCAAGGTGATCCCCCCACTTATCAGTTACTAAATGAGTGGAAAACAGAGGTTGCTCTCTTTCTGATTTTATTCTTGGAGACAAGAGCTCTTCTCACCAGAGGTAAAGCAAACTGGGGTGAGTTTTCTTTAGAAGTAGAGAAGTGCCAGGTCCTGACTCGGTAGATTTCTGGCAACAGTTATGCCTTGGAAAAACAAGTTGTGTTGGCAGCAAAGTGAAGGACTTCTGTTTGCTGGGTATGTGGATGTTTCTCCTAATCCTGAGCAGATGGAGCACATCTCCCACCCCGCGGTGCTCCAGTGATGTCTGCTCCAGCATTCCTGCACCATCAGAGCACCCTCAGCATCAGGGCTGGGCTCAGGCTGCAGCCCTGGAGCTGCCAAAGGACGTCAGTCCTCCCTGCAGAGCAAGAGCAGCGGGAGGGTCATCGCATCGTGGTGGCAGCCATTACATCTATCTGTGGCAGCTGGGCTAGGAAGGAGGGCTGCATAGGAACTGAGGCACTGCCCCTCAGCCTGCTGTTCCTCTGGGTGATGGGGGCCCTCAGCCCCTCAGCGCAACGCTGCTGGAGGACAAAGGATGAATGTTTCCTCCCACAGCCGGACCCATGGATGTCACTGCAGAACAGGATGCTGCAGTCTCACTGCTGCTCCCAGCCACACTTCCAGCCCAGCTTTTGGGCTTTTAGAGGGGACCTTGTTCTCTCTGGGTATTAACAGGAAACTGTCCTCACTAATTAGCAACTCAGTAATGAACTGGGTAGGAAACAGTTCCAAATCCCAGAGCTGGGCTGTCCAAAACTCTGCTAGTGTTTGAACAGAATCTTTGGGCTTTGGCCTTGCTTTTTCTTCTTCCTTTTTCTTCCTTTTTCTTTTGCTGTTTTACATGTGGCCAAAGAAAACAGTGCTCTCCCGCTGCCCTTAGCCTTGTGTTACCATTCCTTCTTTAATGATTCTTCTGGGATCCACATGCCCCAAATCCCACACAGCTCCCATGCTCTCTCCTTGCCCTCCAGCATGGCCATGGTTGATTTTCATGCTGCTTGCCCTGCTTGGAAACCAGGCAGCAAGAGGAGGGGCAGGTGGTGCTTCCTTCTGTGTCCCCCTTCTGTGTAACAGCAGGACAAAGCTCACAGAGGGAGCAGAGCAGGACAGTGGCTGAACATCACTCTGTAATGGTGGCTCCCCAGAATAAGAAGAAAACAGGACAAAAATAGACCACTGGGAGCAGCTCCCATCCTGATCCTTGGGAACTTTCTTCCCTGCAGTGCTGCTGCTGCCCTTGTGGTTCTGCACAGCCCCTATGCAGCGCTGTGCTTGGGGAACTTGTTACTAAGCTGGGCAGCAGCTCTGGAGCATGCACACAGAGCTCCTTTAGGCACCTTTGGGCATCCAACGTTTTGGTTTGACTGGGCTGCACTGAGTGAAGAGGAATTGCCTAGGTCCACATCTATGTAGGTTCCTCCCAAAATAATGCCTCCTAATTGTTTCCATGGAAATTACAACTGCATGGTGGCACTACTTACTAGAGCAAATTCTCAGCTACAAAACACTCTTTTTCAACACAGACACTGCCATTAGTGATGCATTTTCACCAGTGATAAACAAGAGCCACATTCCTATCAACCTGCACCCACTGTCACTGTCCCCACTGCTGAAATGTACCCACAGCCTCACTGCACTACATCCACTGTTTGGTCTCCATAGATGTTCAGAAACGAATGTCAATAGGTGCCATTTTTTTTCTCACTGAGGAATTCATTTACCCATCTTTGTTTCATCTGTACATTCATGTCAGACGCCATGGTGTCAGACTGCCCCTTGCTGCCACCTGTCACATGGCAACAACATGCAGTGGCACATTGGTAGGAAGGTTCAGCCTCCACTGCCATCCCACCAACATCTCTGCCTTTGATATCATGGGCTAATATAGTAAAATAGGAGGTATTGCTTTCACAGCAGCACTTAAAACAAATAAAAAAGGGAGCAGCAACACCATGAAACTAGTGGGATATGTGACCTTGTTATTGTGAAACCAGCACATCAGGTTGGTTCAATGGCAGTGCTTTCCATTCCCATTCAGTTCTCAAAAGTGGACATGCCCAATCTTTGAGACATGTATTTCAAGCCCTGGAAAGGCTTTTGTGCTGGCTAAGGAAATAGCTACATGAAAAGATGGAGAGAGCTGATAAGGAAGAGGGTAAAGAGATCGTGCTGCAAAGGAAGAAGGGCAGCCTACCCCCATGTCTTGAAACGCCCAAAGCATAAAGGGAGAACTGGCAGAGGTCAGGCTGAATTGGCTCTTGCAGAGGATGCGAAGAAAAACAGCGAGAGAAGTTTTAGCCTTACACATCAGAGGAAAAGAAGGAAAGAAAAAATGGAGCTGCTGTACAGGAAGGATGGGGCATGGATTAAAGCTAGGCTTAGCTCAATCCAAAACAAAAGCACACTATTTCTAATGTCCTGTGGGTGTGCAGAGCATGAGAAGACAAGAGGTGGAAGTAGGAAGCATCACATCCTCTGCCACTAGGAGTCAGGAGGCAGCAAGCTCTGGCCATGGGTCATGGTGTGGGGCAGGTTGTCACGAATGATGCCTTTGTCATACGTGTGAGTGCTACCCTCTCCTACCCAGAACTGCAGTTTTTGCCATCTGCCATCTGGTTTCTCAATATTTCTAGGAAAATCCTTATCTCTGCTAAGCAGAAATTCGCGCCTGCGACATGCCTCATCTGCAACAGAACGGTCCCCCTCAGCAGCTCACAGCCCCAGCTGCTTGCACATGGGCTCCTGCTGCACAGCCCAGTGGTGCTTTGCTGATCTGCAGCGATTTACCCTTGAATTTCTCCCCCTCCTGCACCCCAACAGGAACGGCCCCATCAGCCCAGTTTCCCTCCAGCCAGGAAGGGGCCACAGGCGACTGCTGGAACCAGCACAAACCTAATTCAATTTCTACCCTCTTTCCCTTTTGCCTTCACTTCATTACAGATTATTATTCTTTTCACAGTTGATTCTGTTTCCAATTGAACTGCCTGGGGGCTGGCTCCTCTCCTCCAGCCGCTGTGCAACTTCTGCAGCAAGGCTCCTTCCCACGGACCCATAGCCTGAGGCACAATGCTCATTTTGGAGAGACAAAGCAGCATCTCATTTCCAGTTAGTGGCTATTTCATGCGGCACTTAAACTAGACAAGAAATGACTTCTGCGCATGGAGTTACCAAAACTCCCATTGAATTGGGAAAATGAGTTGGGATGTTTGTAGGTGATGCATTCAGAACCATGGCAGGAAAGGTTATTGCTTCCATTCCCAGCCTAATCTACTGCACACATAACAAGCATACATTTCTAAATAAGTTGTTTCAAAGAAAAAAAAAAAAGAAGAAGAAAAAAAACATTCCTTTGAAAAGCTCCACTGTACAACTTCACAAAGGTTTCTAAATATAGCTATTTTCAATGAACAAGTGCAAGGAGACCGGGCAGATGGCTTTGCATCTCTCTTGAAATCCTGATAAGGTTGAAGGGACCTCAAAGCCCCCCCAGATCCAGGTTCTGCCGTGGGCTGGCAGCCACTTCAGGCTGCCCAGGGCCCATCCATAGCGTTGGGCACCTCCAGGGATGGGGCACCCACAACCCATCCCACCCTCCTTCACCACCACGTCACATTACAGAGCTGCCACGTACTTTGCGCTGCAGCTCAGTGCTGTGCAAAGGAAAGATGAGGGCTCACCCCACAGATCCGAGGATCGTCCTTTTCTGAGCAAGTCCAGCTGCGTTTCGCTAAAAGATTTTTCAAGCACATTCCTAATGATCTGAATTGTTCCTGAGCACTCCCTGCAGGCTCCAGCCGGGTTTTGGGGGGAGCATGCTCTTCTGAGAACGCCGCTTCTTATTTTTGTCAGCACATTGAACATAGCCTCTAAATTAAAATCTTCTATTCCCAGCCTATTTTGATCAACTCTGCTTCCTTCAGCTTAAAAGATACAATAAGAATAGATGAGCTCTTGCAAATTAAAAGCCTCTCTTGCTTAACAAATTGTCTCTCCACAATAATTAATTGTCTGGAGAGAGATTCCAGCCCTAGGTTTTTGGCCTCATTCCAGGCTGTGTAAGAGAAAAATATATATATTTGGATATGTGCTTCCTGCGAGCCTTCGTTGTGCCCTTCCTGTGCAGTGCAATGGCCCCAACCCATCTACCTGGTGCTGTCATGGCAGTGTCCCCAGAGCTGCCCCTCAGCCCCCCTTTAGTGACCCCATCCAGGCAGTGGGACCCTCACCCCAAGCTGTTCTCACAACAGTGGCTGCACAGGGGCTATGTGCAGGCAGTGCCAGGTGCTGAGCTCCAGACTGCCTTTGGGACTGAGTCTGACCCCTTAATTTCCTTAAGAAATTCCTTGCAGCATGTGACTTTCACCATGAGTAAATTTAAATTAATCTTCATTTCTGCAGACTAAGCCCTTGGCTGCTTCTCCTCTCAGGGATAGGGAGGTTCCTGCCCTACTTCACGCTTGCAAAACTAGAAAGAAACATAGGATACAGTGCCTGCTCCTGCAGAATCCTACAGGCTTTCCTCTGAGGTCACATTCCCCAGGCCTCTTCCTCATCCATGGAGCTCTGCAGCCTCCACCAGGGTCACAGCTGGCTTTGCCATCCCAATAGATGCCTGCCCCAGGTGTCATCTGTGGACAGCTGCACTAGGGTGGGTTGAGGGCTTGCCTCAATCAACATGAAACATGTAGCCCTTAGCCAGCTGCAGGATGCTTAATATCAGCAATCCAGCACCCTTCAGTCCTCATCAGAGCTGGACAGCTTAGGATCAGCAAACTGGAAATAAACCTCTAACATCCTCTCCCTGCACTATGAGAACATACAGGAATATGTCACAGGCTGTGCCTTCAGTCTGACACTGCAGCACAGCAGATGGGATCCTGCTGGGTCTGACTGGGATCGGCACTGCGGCATCCGGGAGGGCGGAAAAGGCTCGAGCAACATTTTCTTCCCTGGTCTCGGTATTGCAGAGGTGCCTGGGGACAAAGGTATTCCTGGAACAGCAAGCACTAGTGGCACTCCAAATGTATATAACCACTTGAACACATCTGGGAGATCCTCATCTTTTAGCTGTGCTGTGCGTCCTGATGATCAAAGTGAGCCATCAGTCTCTCCCATCCATAGAGGAAGCAGCCCATCTGCACAAGTCCCATTTGCACAGTGCTGGCCTACCCAGCCATGGCTGGAGCCCAGCAGGACCCCTGGCCCCATGCTACTCTATTAGTCCTCAGGCACAGCTTCGCATCAGAGCTTCCCAAAGCCCCCACGTTTGCCAAACCTCACGTTTCTATTCCTGGAGTCCCAAATTTTCCCTGACTTCACTTGCAATTTCCCAACACACAGTTCCCAGCATTGCCTTGGCCTTTAATAAACTGCTCATTAGAGACGCAGGGGAGGCCCATGTGGGGAATATCCCAGTCCATGAGTTTCTCTGGCAAGCCCTGGTGTCAGCTGTGATACAGCAGCGGCTCAGCCACCAGCTGCCATGTCCCTGCCCGTGGGGCTGCTGGATCCTCACAGAGCTCTGATTCCTATGAGCTCTCCAAGGGAAGATGGAGCTTGCTCAGCTCTGAGCCTGTGGGGTTTTCTTGCCCCCAGGCAGCAAGAATGTTACATTGGAAGAGATTAGGGCAATGCGACTGGAGGGGGGTTCTGCCCCCATAATCAGAGTTCCATATTCCTACAGGGCACCTCTCATCCTAAGACAGATTCTAGACCAAAAGATCCCTACTTGAGCAGAGTCGAAGGGAAGAAGGAGTCAACACCCCAGTGATTTCAGCTGGTGAACATTCCTGAGCAGATTTGAGCCTTGTTTTGCAGAGCATTCCCGCCGTGCACACCACCTTGCTGCTGCCCAGCAGTAACATTCTGAAGCTCCAGCAGACCCCCAGGTTGTGAAACACAAAGCTGGGTTTGGGTCTGTGGAGACGAACACACCAAGGCCATTCTGCTTTGTGCACCAGGGCTGCTGGGGTCTCTGCTTGGCTGGGATGGAGGTGAGGATTGCAACCCAACTCCATCCAGCATGGGGAACCCAGGGTGCACATGGTGAGCAGCGTGACACATCAGTCCCTTGGTTGCTAGCTGGGGAGGCATGGAAATGGTCAGCATTACTTTCTCCAGCAGCACGGAGCTCTCAGCCCAGCACGAGAGGGAGAGCAGAAAGGGGGAGCAGCTCCCGACACAGCTGGCGCAGCAGTTAGCATTCGTGGAAACCCACAAATGAAAGACACCAGAAGCACAGAGAGCCACCCGTGCTGTTCGTCACTTGGCTTGGCTCCCTGCGACTCCGCACGTGCAGAGGATGCTTCCGGCAGAGCTCACACGCGGTTCAGGGCAGCCCTGCATTTCGACTTCGACTGGATAGTAATCTCGGAGCCTGAGTTCAGGGCTCTGATCCCACCCACCGGCGCTGTGACTCACGGCGCAGTCAGCGAGCTGCCTGGATATTGGTGGGCAAGGAGGAGGGAGGGAGCTGGCGGCCGCCGCTCGCACTCGAGTTGCTCCGGCGTGCGGTGATCGGCGCTCCCACCTGCTGCAGGGCTACAGAACGCCGCTCCCAGGTAAAGCTTTTGCCTTTTTTATTCCTCTTGGTTGTTCCACTGCTGAAGGCATTTCTAAGCGAGAGCTCAGAGGGGTCGGTGGGTGGGAGCGCGCCCCGCTCTGCGTTCTATGGTCTGTGCTATCTTTGTCACGCCCTGCCCGGAATGCAGGGCAGCCTGGGGGCTTCTGCTGGTGGGAGCGGACAGAGGGGGAGCAGCAGGGTCAGAGAGGGGGCACGGGGCAGCAGCACTGCCCTGCCTCGGCACTCGCGCTCGCCTCTCCCCAGCAGCATCCCCACGAGGTTTGCTCCTAAGTAAACTTTTTTCCCCGAGCTGCCTGAGCCCTTCCTCCGAGCATACCAACCCTGGCCCAGCTGCTCTGCTCCTCTGGACTGATACCCGAGCACAGGAGGGGATGTTGCCCCCAGGACCAGAGGGATGCTGTGCCCCAACCCAGCTGTGGGCTTTGGGTAGAAAGCTGAATCCAAGTTTCTCTGCTCTGACTTCTGCAGCTAAAAATCATGTCCGCCAGCTTCTATTTTCAGTTTCACCTCTCATGCAGTCACTGAAGAGCAAACTTTTGAAATGCTGGAGGCTCTCTGCCCATTTCTGGATCACTCTTTGGGCTGTCTGCATTCAGGGTTCCCTTGAACACTTCTATACACGAGCCCCTGCTCTCCCAGGGCTGGCAGCCCTGATGGGATCAGCTCCTGCCTCCCAGCCCCTCTGCTTACCCCACAGGAAGCAACTGCTGCTGTACATCATCAGCGAGGCACGCTGACAGCACCAGATGGGAACAGCCCTTTGCTGGGGTCCCCGTGCCCTCCAAGCCCTGCCTGCTCCCCACCACCAAACCTCAGACATCCTCTTCAGGGGCAGCAGAAATCCCCTCCCTGCTGCACTGTGCTGTCACAGGCACCTCTTGGTGAACCCATGCGTTTAATCTCTTGATTAAACACTTGAGCACAGTTTTGGAAAAAGCCGTGACACCTTGCTGTGAGCTCTATGAGGTCAGGAAATCAGCTTTGCCCATAAGTGATGTGTCCCAGCACCTTGCTCCATTCTAATGCAGGAGAGGGAGATTTCTCAGATCCGGGGACCTGGAAATGCTCCCTGAACCCACTGCCATGTCCAGGCACACGCCAAGTGTTCTCTCCTGTCCGTCTGCTTTTAATAAATTTGCCACAAACCTATGAAGCCAGAAGAGGGAATACATTAATGGAGAGCAGCAAACGTTACTGGCTCTGCAGAACCAGGTGCAACATCCCATCCCCTCCATGCAAAAGTGTTCAAAGTGCCCAAACGTGCAGTGCCAGAAGAAATTATGCCAATAGGCGAGGGATGAGGAAGAAGAAAGGAGAGTGAATGAGAATTTCCCATAGACAAACCACAGCCCCAACCCTAGAGAAGATAATCAGCATTTTAGATGGGAACAAAACCGATCAAATGTCCACGGGCTTCCACAGAACAGAAAACATCCATTCATGCAGGAATTACTGCAGGAACTGTAAGGTTAAGGGACGAGCTGATGGGGAAGATCGTAATGTGCTGCAGTAGGAGAAGCTAATGCACTCATGGCTATTAATAGAATTCCTTAAAGATCAGACTGAAGACACATTTTTGTTTAATAGCTTTCATTAGTGATCTTGATTCAGAACACGGAAATTCCCTAAGAAAATGTGCTGTTGAGAATCTTGGGAGAATTGTTGAACCAGACAAGGGACTTCAGTGCTATGGGAGATGAACCAAAGGTTCTAAAATTCAAAAGAAACCTGTCACAAGTTCACATGCTTAGCGACCAAAGGCAAAGGTCCAGGCCAGGATGCATTGCCATGCAGTGCCACTCCTCCTGCAGAGCAGTGTGCCAGTGGGGAATGTTTCCATGTATAGAATATGGGACAGTCTCCCACCAGAGTTTAGGTTTTGCCTTTGCAAGCACCATGCCTGGAACCAGCCCAAGGTGCAGCATCCTACATCCAACCCTACGAGTCCTGCCCCATCCCTTCTCAGCACAGATGGGTGCTCCATCCCCATGGATAGCAGCTCCATATCACACTTGGAAATGTTCCTTCTCCCTGCCTAAGAAATACAGAGGTCCTACTCCTCACTCTCAGCTAATGGGAGAAGCAAGAAGCAGCAGAACTCTTCCTGACCCAGCCTGTAGGATCAGCTGCCCCACAGCACAGCCTGCACAGAGGGCTTTGAATACAGCAGAAGGAGCAGACCTTGCCAGGAGGGTCCAACCCAGCACCACTGGGCATGGGCACCATGACCAGGTTCCTTGCTGTGAATGTGGCACCAGGAAGGCAGCAGAGTCCCTGCCCTGCAGCAGTGCTGGGCCAGGAGCACAGCCTCAGCTGAGCTCACATGAGCTGGGACAGGAGCGGCTGTTGGTGGGTGGCAGAGCAGCCACACGGGAGGCTGTGATCCACCCACTGCATTTTTCTAAGCCTGCTACTCCCCCTATAATTTACCCTGCCATTTCCAGCGCGTTAGGAGCAATAGGAAAAACATTCTTTTCACTTGGAAATACCCTTCTCTGAGAACAACCTGTTCTCCTGGCTGCTGTCAGCAGGCAGGCAGCACTCAGCTTGTGCCACGATCCTTTTGTGCCTGAACAAAAAGCTTTCCATGGCAAGAGCCTGCACTGCAGCAGGAGGCAAGGAGCCACTCTGCCAGCTCCCCATGCCCCTCATCCCAGTGCCCCAGTGTGGGCCACAGGTCATTGCTCCAAATTCCCCTCGGAGCATCCGGCACCTCTCTGGATCTTGCTCTGGTCAGGAGAGCGGGAGCCTCTGAGCAATGGGAAGTCTCTCTGAGCTGGTTGAGCCATGTGATTGCTAACATCAGGGATCAGCACAAGGCATGGGGCTGCTCAAAGTGCTGTTACAGGCACAAAGTTTAAGAAGTTCAGCTGCGAAGCCTCATGAATCACACAGGGCTGATTAATTTTACTAGATTGTATAAATGGAGTGCACTGCTCCCTCTGGAAAGCTCTTTCCTCACTTCAATCCAGCCCTTTTTTTTAAAATCACAAGCCTGTGGGAACTTCTTTCCTCTGAAACCACCCTTACACCACATGGGCATTCCAAAGTGACAGGCACCAAGCAGGGTCTGCTGTCCCCAGCTGCCAAAGAACTCTCCAGTCCAGGTCTAAGTGATCCAGGGCACCCAGAGAGGTGCAGAAACCCCATTTCTGGAGGGGCTGCCCAAGGGACTGTTGCCCGCTATGGCCCTGACTTGGTGCTCTCTTTGCAGGCTGTCCTCAGATAAAGCAGCTCTGTCCCTGACAAGTACTGCTGGCCATCATCTCTGACCCAAGCACACAGAACAAGGCAGGCATGAGACCCCATGGGACCTGACCCCATAGCATCTGACCCTGCTGGGCTTTGCAGGAGAAAAGGGAACAGCTGACACCCACCAGCAGTGCCACAGGACTCAGCTCCAGCCCCAGATGGACTGGGTCACACAAGAAATTTGCAGGGGCACATCATTTCTAGGTCACATCACCTCAGCAGACTGAATGCGTGAAGGGGACTCTACTGTGATCTCCAAGACCATTGTAGGCCCAAATTTGGTTTGGAAGGAACTCCAGGGCTGCGTGGTAGAGGCTCACTCCAAGCATCTATAGAACCACTGACAGCAGAACCGTTCCACCCATGCAACTGCACTATGGATCCATGTGGCAACCTCACAAACCCTTCAAGAAACATGGACTTCCCTCTGCAGCTGCTGGTCGGGTCCTGCCTGGCCCTGCTCATCGTGTTCACTCTCTGTGGTAACATCATTGTGTGCCTGGCAGTCACTCTGGACCGCCGGCTCCGCAGCCTGACCAACTGCATCATCGTCTCGTTGGCCATCACTGACCTGCTGCTGGCCCTGCTGGTGCTGCCCTTCTCCGCCTTCTATGAGGTCACCAGCGAGTGGCCCTTTGGCAGCACGTTGTGCAACATCTACCTCAGCCTGGATGTCATGCTGTGCACGGCCTCCATCCTCAACCTCTTCATTATCAGCCTGGACCGCTACTTTGCCGTCACCACCCCGCTGCGCTACCAGCAGCTGGTCACCCCATCCCGCGTGGCTGTGGCCCTGATTGTTATTTGGACAGTTTCACTGATGGTCTCCTTCCTCCCCATCCACCTGGGGTGGAATACCAATGGGACAACGGTTCAGAACACTACACCCAACTGCACCAGGGAGTGCAAGCTGGAGGTGAATTCTGTGTACGGACTGGTGGACTCCTTGCTCACCTTCTATATCCCTCTGGTCATCATGTGCGTCACCTACTACCGGATATTCAAGATAGCGAGGGAGCAAGCCAAGAGGATAAACCACACGTGGTGCTGCAGCAGCAACAGCCCCATGCCACCCATGGTGAAGGAGCACAAAGCCACTGTGACTCTGGCAGTGGTGATGGGAGCCTTCATCATTTGCTGGTTCCCCTATTTCACAGTGTTCACATACAGAGGGGTGTGGGGGGACAGCAGTGTGAAAGGCACACCCATGTCCATCGTCCTCTGGCTGGGCTATGCCAACTCAGCACTGAACCCCATCCTCTACGGGACATTCAACAGAGATTTTCGGGTGGCATACCAACACTTGTTGCACTGCTGCAGGACAGGGGACCCCAAGAACTCCCTACAGAAGGGTCAGCCCCGGGGCAGGAGCTGCGGGGAGAGCCTGGATGGACAGGAGGGGAAATGCCTGAAGCTGGAGATGAGGAATGGGAAGGGCATCTTGCTGACAGATGGAGCCCTGCAGAGGTAAGAGCCTCTCCACAGTCACGCTGCTGGTCCCCAGGACCCCGTCAGCTCAGACACCCAGCACTGCCCCAACAGCAAGTTCCATTCCCATTTCTGGAGCAAAAATAGCTAAAATTAGGTTGGCAAACTTTTCTAAGAACACAGACAACCACACATAGAGCCCCCCCAGCAGTACCCCAAGCACCGCCTGGGGCAGGACCCTGGAAGGGGTGCAGCAGTGGGGAGGACAGATAGGATGCAAGCACTGTGCCCAGGAACTCCCATCTCATGGAACCAGCCTACACCTCCTTGGCCCACCTGAGCATAAGGAGAACACAGACACATGCTGTGCCACAATGTGAGCTGCTGCTCCCACACCCTAATCTAACCTCCAGGCAGCAGCAACTGATAACCCCCTGATAGCCCAGAAACTTTCCATCCCACCGATAAGCTGTTCTTTCAATCCCTGCTGCATGTGCCCTTGGTGCTGTCTCCAAAGCACAGTGTGAAGCCTTAGGAAGGAGAAAGCAGGGAGGTGAAGCAGAGGGCAGAGCGGTGCGAAAGGCTCAGCCTGTATCACACTCAGGCATGTGCCTGGAACAGTAAAGATGCTTCTGCAGACACAGACGGGGCTGGAAGGAAACCTGCGCTGCTCCTGTAGAGCAGCACGTGGGATTTTATTTAACTAAATTGTTTGTGCAATGCAAAACACCAGCTGGTTCCTGCACAGCATTACAGCCCATACCCAGGGGAGGCCAGAGAACACTGGGGGATGGCCCAGCAATAGGCTGGATCGGGTGCTGGGGCTCAGTCAGTTAGGCAGGTTTGGCTCCTTCCTAACACTTGAGTGCATTTGAATGAGACCAGTAAAAAGGTGAGCATCTCTCACCTCCTTCCAGCAGGAGAAATAAATGTTTCCTCTCTGGATTTGTGCCCAAATGAAGCAGAACACTGGAGGGAAGAGGCTGAATAGCAAGCAGTGCTGCAGTGGGGCACATATCATGCACTACTGGAAGCAGAGGGGAAGACACAAGAACAGGGATGTTTCTTGACTTTTCTAAATCCAGATAACTCTTTCCCATACCAGACAGCATCACTGCTGTGGTTTCTGCTTGTGATCAGATAAAAGTGAATGTGAGGGCTGAAGGTTGAGTTTTTGGTTTTACTTTCCCTGTTTATCTGCCTACTCACTTGCCTGGAAATGATGCACCAAGGATGGCATGGGCCTCTCTCACTTCTCCCCTTCCCCATCAGGGATGCACACATTGGGTGTCTGAGACCCCAACACCATGCAGGAGTCACCCAAACCCCAACTGCCAATGGCACCCTGAGCTCAGAGAGACATGGTCCCTCTCTTCCAGCCACATTAGCAGAACAGAGCAGCACATATCACTCACAAACCCATATCTCCCTCCAAATAAGACTGGAGCCTAGCAGAGCTCTGCCCAGAGCAGTCCCATGGGGTTGTTCAGGGGAAAGCATTTTGAGATGTTGCCCATTATGTTTTTTCCTATTACGAAGCACAGGGAAAGACCAGCAAACATACCAGAGAAACATGAATGGTCTCAGGAGATGTCAAGCACAGGAACAGGAGTCAGCCCCATCACTTCTATGGAAAAAACATGCACCACAGCCATTGTGACACAGGCAGCAATTCTCTGGGTGGTGGGGAGCATGCAGGATTGCAATGGAGGGCAGCAACTCCTCACCCCCTGCCACACATTAAACAGGGAAAGAACTCACTAAAGAAGCAGAAATGGAAAGCAGAGTCCTACTCCTGTCCCAGGATGTAGGCTCCTGTCCCAGCCACCACATCCTGTTCCTTCCCAGGGGCTCAACCCCATGCAGGCAGCAACTGGTGCGTGCAGAGCAAAGCCTGAAGGCTCACCCACACTGGCACCAACCTATCTCCTCTTTACATCTCCGTGTGCAATTTCACTCTTTCCAGTGACGGAGCTTTCCCGTGAGCCTCAGCCACCCCATCTCCTGGCCTCCTCTCCCAACTGCCCTCTTCCAGCACTCTGCAAGGCTGAAAGGACACACACAGACTTCCCTTGGGGAGAAACCTGAGAGCAGAGGCAAGGGCTGCAGGGTGAGTACAGGGCTGGGGTTTCAGGGTGCTGCTGTGTTTAATGAATGGGGACATCCACTGCATTTTTCTGGGTCCAGCCATCCCATCCCAGAAGTCAGCAGTACGGGGAGCAAAGGCACCAGAGGTACACCCTCCCTCTGGGAGCATTTGCTCTCCAAACCCACGGCAACTGCCCAGAGCTGTCCCTTCTCTTTCCCCAGCTGCTCTTGAAGTGTGAGAGTACAGAAAACACTTCATGATTCTCTGGAAGACACTGCCAGCTCCCCTTGCCATTATGGGAGCAGCCATTATGCACTGCAGAGGCAGCTGTGCCAGATCGCAGCTTTCCAGCACACTGTTTTTTTGCAAGCCTACATCAGTGCTGTGAGTCACCACCTGACTGGACTCCCAGGTTGGGAGACTGACAATGGGCATCTCCACCATCCCCAGCAGCACTGGGCAGAGGATATGGCCATTTGCCCCTGTGCAATGGGTTGCCTCTGGGCTCCCGAGAGCCACTCTGTACAGCCCTCCTCTTCAAGGACTGGGCAAGGTCATCCCGACCTCCACACACACTCTCTTAAACACTGCATGCTGATAACCTGGGCTCTCCTGTATTGATTGTACCCAGGGGGTGAAAAATGAGGTCACCCACACACTGCGGCTGGAGGAGCACATCCCAGCCAAGGTCATGCTGACAGCCCCATATATGGGGCCCCACTGGGGTATGGGTCCCTGGGTGTGACGTACAGAGGTGACAGCATGGGGAGAGCACAGCACAGAGGCTGCTCCCGGGGGGGACAAATTACCCCGAACCCAAGCAGGGGGTGTCTCGAGCCTCCTAGCCAGCAGGACAGCCAATGCCAGTTGTGCTCTTTGTGCCTTCCCTCTTTGATGCACACATCTTCTGAACAACACTGAGTTTCCGCAAGGCAGAGACAAGATGCCAATCTCCCTCAGGAGATTTCTAATCTAATCGGCACGGCAAAGCACGGTTGATCTATGCAGAGGTTTGCAGATCTGAGGTCCTGCTGCGGCCACAGATTTCCTCTCTGTGACATGGAAGTGAGGACAGGAAACATCACCTCATGTGAGGACCCATCTGAATGCGCCCCAGCAGGAGCCAAGCAAAGCCCCGCAGCACCCACCTGCAAAGGAGGGAGAGGAAGCACTCTGAGGCAGAGCACTGCTGACCCCAGCACGCCCACAACTGTCACTTTGACTCAGTTATTTGCAGATGTGACAAACAGGCACTGCTGCTGGCCCACAGAGAGGGGAAGAGCGAGCAGAGAAAGCCACAAAGCAACATACAGCTCCTCTGAGGGAGCATCAGAAGATGAGCTCTGGGTGACACTGCTGAGCTCTGCCCCTCAGCAGCTCTCAGAACACAACTGCACTCTGCTGAGAACATCCTCACAGCATTGCACCACAGACCCTCCCAGCCATAGCAGATGCTTAATGCAGAATCCCTCGTGCTGCAGGGAGAGGAATGTGGGGCAAGTGAATACCTGCACCCCGCACATCCTTTGAACGCTCTCCCTGTTTCCCTGTAGGATCCCTGTGCCGGTACGTGGCACTTGCTGTCTCCCCAGATGATGCTGGAGAAGCCTATGCCTGCCCACGTTTCTTACCAGGAGCACAGAAGAACCTGCACCATCAGGGCCCGCGACACCTCCAGCACTGAGACCTACGTTAGTGGGTTGAGAGCCAGGGTGCACCCCAGCAGGTCTGGGGTTCAGGCACAGCGGGAAAAAGGAGATGCAGCCACAGCCTCGGTGCCAGACAGCCCAACCCAGGACCGGCACTACGTCCCGCGGTGCTCCATCAAAGGGAAACATCCACCGCCCAGGGAGCCCGGCAGAGGGGGTGAGGTGACAGGAGAGCTATCGACGGCCAGATCACAATACGTGCAGCCGTGCAGCATCCTCATGGGCCAAAAAAGAGCCCCACCTCGGGGATGCTGGGGCGTCCCCTGCTCTTTGTGGGCTTCACACGCTCAGCCCCATGGCAAGGAGAGAGGACCCGGAGCCACGGGAGCCGCCGAGCAGTGTGGCTGCCCCCAGGCTCTTTCCCCAGCAGCAGCTCAACGCCAAGTCTGCAAAAACAGGATGTCTGCGAGCGAGCCTGGGCAGAACTCAGCCATACAAAATCCCGTTTAACACAGAGGCAGAACAGCACGATTGATTTCTCCCAGCACACTCTACCTCGAGAAGAGCTCCCCGTAGCCCCCCATTCCCCTGTACCTCACCCCTTCCTCTCAGCCGCGCTCACGCACAGCACAACCGCAGGGATGCGGCTGGAGCCGAGCGCGCCGCTCCCAGAGCCGGGGGGCAGCAGAGCGGCTCCGGCGCCCCCCGGGCCGGGCAGCGTTACGGGCTCTGAGCTCCCCCTGCTTGCGGCTCCCGGCCCAGCCCCCCTCTGTTCCGGAGCACCCCCAGCCTGGGCCGGGCCAGAAACACCCACAGCATCCACGCTTCCCTCTAAAACTCGGGGAGGAGGATCTGACAAACGCACCCCACCCAAAGCTGTGCCACCTATGATAACAATTAGAGACTGATCTAATTGCAAAAATAATTGCAATTGAAGTGTTTAATTACCATAGTAAGCAGGAAGAGCCGCTCCCGACTGTTTCGGTAGCACTCTCGATCCATCAAACAAGGTTTGGGGCTTGTTTGGGGTTGGTGTGTGTTTTCTTTTTTATTATTATTAGATTGCAGCCCTGGGGGGATGAAGAGATTTACTAATTAGGGTCCTGGAGAACAGCCACCAACTTGCAAGCACTTGTTTTTAATTTCAATACTAACAAGGCTGGAAGGGGGAGAAATCCAAAATGCATAACAGCTGTGTGGTTGCAGCCCTGCAGCCCCTCACCACGCTGGCAGAGCCCTGGTGCTGCTTGGTGTGATGTTGTGAGGCTGGTTTTGTGCTGTGCCAGCACCTGTCACCCTCTGATCCCATCCACTGCAGTGACAGCTCATCCAGATCCTGGTGCCAAGCCCTGCAGAACAACAGCAGGAAACTTCTCCAGGTGGCATTTGGTTTTGTTTTCCCCTATATGTGCAACAAAAGGGGATTAAATTCTTTCTCCAAGCAGCAATTCTGAGAGGGAGGAGAAACCGCTTAGAAAGCTCCTAAGCAACATCTGCTTTCTCAGATAGGAATATCCCCCTGCCAGCCAAGTGCCCAGGGACAGCTCTATCCTTTGGGCCGTGTAGGGATGCAGCCACAGCTCTGGGTAGGACCCAAAAGCACAGAAAAGGCTGTGGGGAGGGGATGTAGGAGCTGCTGCAGGGTACTCTGGTGTGTCCCCCTCCCAGAAGTGTAGCAAAGGACTGTTGCATTCCTTTTAGATAAAAGAGAAACATCAGTAGAAGAAGGAAAAAAAAAACGTGTTGGGTTTTTTTTTTGAGCTCTCGTGATTGAACACAGGAGATGGAAAGGTAGCAAGCAGCTCCAAGCAGACAAAAAAAAAAAAAAAATAGGAGAGAGAGAAGAAACTTTGTTTTAGAAATCCCGAGATTTGGTTTTCTTCAATAAAATGCATTTGAGGTCACCTACCAAACAGTTCTGGCTCTGAGGTCTCAGGTCTCCATACCGTGGGACCACCAGGCGTGTGGCCGTGGGACAGGAGAGGGGACAGAGCCACTAGAGGGCACAAGTAGGACAGAAACATGTCCCCATTCGGGTCACTTGCCGCCCCACAGGCAGTGGCGGTCCCCAAAGTCCCATATCATCCCCCATCCCAAAGCACCTCCCAGAAATCTGCCATTAGCCCAGGTCCCGAGGGTTTGGTGTCCCCATGCACCAAGATGACACCACTGCTGCATGACGGGGACGTGTCCATTCATCCAGCCACTGACACCCCATGTCCTCAGTGGGGATGACACAGCCGTCCCCTGGAAGCCCAGGACCCTGCAGACCCTGGCACTGGCTGCCCTCATGCTGAGGACCACCAGCCCCACACCGTGTGCCCATCAGCAACCCAGCAAACGCTGGATGCATGCAGGGTGATGCCGCACAGGCAGAGTGACGTGATGGCACAGCCGTGGGGTGGTGATGGAGCAGGACGTGGCACACGGTGTGTGTGCTGCTGCTCCCTGCAGGCATTGGTGTGAGGATGGGTGGATGCAAACCCAGCGCCCGCAGCCCCTGCAGCAGCACCATTACGCAGGGCTCTCCATCCTTTTTGCTTAATGGGAGGCATTTTTCTGTCTCATTTCCCTTACCCTCAGCACTGAAACCGCCTTTCTGCAGCAAAACAAGCCAAGCCAGAAAAATCCTTCTCCCTCAGCAGCTCACAAAGTCCCCTCCCTCCGTGGCAGCAGCAATGCCCATCGCGCAGGGCTCCCTTTCCTTGCATATCGCACTGCAGAGCAATAAATGATCCCCATCTCCTGCATGTTCCCGGGCTGTGCCGACCCCAGGCTGCATTTGTGTCTTTTGTCCTCATTCCTGGGAGAGAGGCAGGCTCTGTGCATGGCCCCATTGCACCGCCATGCTCACCATGCAGCTTCAGCGGGAGGGGGGACCCCATAGAGCCCACATGCCCTGGCCAGCAGACCCCCCCCGCCCTGGTTTTAACGGTCATCATGGAGCCCTCTGTGAGCGGGAGGATGGGACTCGCACAGGGGATGGCAGCGAGGGCACACGGGGACACCTCGGGGACAACGGGGACAGGCGTTCCGGCGGAGCTGCGGGGTTTTGTTCTCGCCGTTGATAGATCTGCAAATAGCTCAAAAGGAAAAAGGTCCCCTCGGCCCCCCTCCACCATCCCTCCCCGAGGGCTGTGCGCCCTCTCCGCTCGCTCAGCCTGCTTCGAGGTTGAGCTAAGTCCGCTGCTCTTTCCTGGGTGATTAGGCCCTTCATTAAGGGGCTGGTTTCCCCCCAGGGCACTCCTGGTGCTCAGCTCAGATGGGGCTGCAGAAATCCAGGTGTCCCCAGGGCCCAGGCAGGAGTGAAGGGCACACAGGGCCAGGGAGGGAGAGGTGAGTTTGGTAACAGGATGATGTTTCATTGAGGTTTTATCTCTGCGACTGGCAATGTGCTCCTCCAGGAGATTTAGTGGGAAGTTGCCTGGTCCCTGCCAAGAAGGCTGTTTTTTGAGGGAAAGCACATTATGCATCAAAGTTGAAATTCAAATCCTTTTTCCTCCTCTCCTGGCATTTATCTGTGAGGCTTCGGATGTTCCTCAGAGCATCTTTGTTTGCAGAGTGCCCCCAACCTGCCCCAATATCCGTGGTGCAGGGGCTCAGGGAAAGCTCTGGAGATCTCGCACAGCACTGAACTTCTCGCTGTTGTTATTCTCCCCGTTGGTGAAACTGTTGCTGGGCAGGCAAAGGGCCGGCATTCCTCTGCAGCCCTCGTGTGCTGGGGGTGCCTTTAACCCATGCACAGTTCCAGAAATCCCCCACAGCTGCAAGCTTTCCCCCCTGAGAGATTCTCCTGCCGTATCCAGGTTGCTTTGAGCACCTCTGCCTCCCCGCCCACCCCCCAAACCCTTCCATCCCCAAAACCAGACGTGCTCTGCATGTTGCATCTTGGATGGGGCTGGCAGAGATCAGATTTTTTAATTTTTTTTCCCTAGAGATGCTCTCGTTTGCCTATTTAAGGGGGAAGTTAGCAGCTCCTGGAGCAGCCCCCATCCTTTCCCCCCCCCCAGCCCATCCCAAAGCATCAGGACAGGCCCCATGTCGGCAGCCACTGGAAAATCACACTCCATTTCAGAAAGGGAAAGCAAAGTGTAAATCTCTCTCTCACACACACTGCAGTGAGAAAAGTGGTGAAAGCTTTAATTTCAGAGCTGGGAGAGAGAGAGACAATAATATATCAGCAGCACCCCGATCGCCGGGGAGGGAAACATCAATTCTGGGCTTATAGAAACAGCCACCATGATTCCCCCCTCCCTGCCTGGCACCCAGAAAGCAGCAGGATTTCCTGCCGACCCCACAGCCCTTACCTCACTGCTCTCCAGCTGTGGTTGGGGGAAATTGAGCAGCCTCCCGTTCCTGGTGACAGTGATGTTGATCTCACAAGTGTTGGCCCAGGAGCGTGGGGACCGGAGGGAGGAAGAGGCAGCAGGAATGAAAGGCAGTGATTTCCCTCCCCCTCCAGCAGAGGTCTGCGTTCAGCACGGGCCGGCTGCTGTGCTCAGCTCTCCCCAGAGGTTCCCTTCATAAGAAGGAGCAAATTCCACGATTTATCAAGGGGAAATTTGCATTTGAAATATTCCCCAACTCCAAATGTCACCTGGCTTGATCCCCCTCCCCCCCCCGCTTGAACAAATGCAACTGAGCGGGGAGGGGATCAGACCAGTGGGGAGAGAGGAAAAGCCCAGGGTTAAAAGCATCCATGGATACTTGATCCAGGATATGAGTGAGCATGGCCACAGCCTTCCCCTCTTCCACCCTCTGTCAGGCAGGACATGCAGGAACGGGTATCGGAGGCTCAGCCATCAAGGATTAAGGATTTCGTGTTTGAGATTTTATTTACACAATAAGACTTAAGTGATTGCTGCATGAAGTGTAGGTGGATTCTCTCCGATGCCTGCAGAGGGATTAGTGCCTATAAGGCAGCCAGAATGAGCTGAAAATTGGAGAGATCAAAGTGCAGGAAGAGGAATCCCACGTTCTCAATGATTCTGAAGGGAATGGAGAGGGATGACAGCGGTCAAGGATGGGAAGATTGCAACTGGTGGCCCAGGAGAGATGCAGGCAGTGA